CTCTCTCTCTCTCTCTCTCTCTCTCTCTCTCTCTCTCTCTCTCTCTCTCTCTCTCTCTCTCTCTCTCTCATATCACCTTCATATAGACATTAACCCTATCTCTCTTGTCATTCGGGCCCTTCGTCCTGCTCTCTCCTTTCCTTACAACCTGTTCCCCTCCCTCCGCGCCGAGCCCCTCTTCCTGCCTTCCGATCTCTTGTTTCCCACCTTGTCTGAATTCCCCATGACCACCTGCATTCCTTACCTTGTTGCTTTGTCGTTCTTTCTCCAGCAGTTCATCGGTCCCTACTTCCGCACCTTGATTCGCTGACCTTTCGCCCCCGACCTACATCCTCATATTCACTTTAGAACTCTCCTCTACGTCCTCCCCCTCCACAACCTCCTTGACGCCGTCAAAAATCTTACCTTGCATGCTTCTCACCCTATCGCGGTGATTCTACATCTCCTTTTTCTGTCGCGGCATTCCCATCCTGACCGACCAAATCCCAAATCCCGACCGACCAAATCCCAGATCCCGAGCCTCTCCTCCTCCTGATCCCGTATCCCGACACTCCCACTTCGTCCTTCTCCGGCTACTTCACCCCTCAAGATTTCGATTGCGACCTTCTCCGCTCACTGTTCCTCCATTTCAAGGGCGCAGGCTTCTCACCTTCTCCTCCCTGCCTGACCGACCAGGAGGCACCTGACATCCCCTTAGTGTTCCTGCTCCCCTGCCTCTCCACATTCACGGCGTGATCTCCGCCTACGTAGTACTTCCGATAGCCGCCGCGCTCAGATGCTGTCCCTCTTGCAACATACCACCCCCAAAACAAAAGGAATCGCAGTCCTAAACGAATGGATGGCGACGGATCGAAAAGAGAGGAGGGATGTAGGGACGGAGGGAGGGAGAGGCGTAGAGAGAGAGAGAGAGAGAGAGAGAGAGAGAGAGAGAGAGAGAGAGAGAGAGAGAGAGAGACGTGTCGCGCAAACCCACCTATTTCGTTGTTGTGCCGAGTGTAAACGGGCTCTCCAATCCTTCACGCACAATCCGCACACAGAGAGAGAGAGAGAGAGAGAGAGAGAGAGAGAGAGCACGTCCGCGACCACTTTGCATGCACACCACACTCTGCCTGGGCTGAGCGGAAATGTGTGTGTCGAAGTACACGCTTCTCGGTAGTCGCTGTCCAGAGTGGAAAAACACCGACGGCGCTCGTTTCCTGTCTAGGCACTGACAAGCCCAGTTCAGAGCGTGTGGGCGGCTTCACAGCACAACATTCGGACCGTGTCTGGCGTTACCGTCGTCCCCCGAACACAACGCACCCACATTTTTACTGTATCGGGGCGGAAACATATCTTCTATACGTTCATTTTCAGGGTGCGTTATGTTCGGGGGACCCAATCCTGCAGGCCCTTGATTCAGGGCACGAAATTATGCTCATGCCCACCAAGTAGACCGTTGTGGCCCAACGGCTGCTGGGTATGAGCATAATTTTAACCATCCGGGTAGCAGGCTACATGAACAATTTGGCCTCTCCTCCTCAGGTCCCGGATATGCCCATAATTTCGCCTGGGTATGTCCATAATTTGGCAGTTGGTTATACCAACCTGGGTCCAACTCGGTCCTGGGCATGCAAACAATTTCTACCAGCCATTTTCTGGGTATAGACGCAAGTTGGCGCTGGGACTGGGTATAGCCGGTATTCCCATCTTTAAGTGGGGTACAAATGCGATTTTCCCTTTTCTTTTTCCGTCTTCCAAGAAAATCTGCAATATACACCCCAAAGATGAGATATATGCCAAAATGCACATAAAACATCCCAATAGCGGAATACCCTTCTGGCACACCAAAGCAAAACTATCATAGTGCCTTTCTCAGCTATAGATGTCGAGCCTAAAATCACTCTGCACGCCTAAGAAAAACGGGCCGGCTCCGGACTCATTTTCGCTGGCGCCACCAGCCATTTCGGTCCAGTAGGACCTACTTTTCCCAACCTGCCAACAACCCTCCCCGTTTTCAGCTTGTCATCCAAACGTACCTTAAAATAATGACGCCCGGTTGTTATGCCAACTTCCATTTGGTGGTTCAGTGTGATATTTTGTTTCATCAAGTATGACTCAAGGTGGTTGAATTTTATTTTGATATTGTGTTATTGGATGTATCTAGTGATAATTTGGCCTTCAGTTATCATTTCAAATTTGAGATATATTCGTATCGACCACGAGCGATTCTTTTTATATAACTATGTGTGGTTGTTATAACTTTCTTTTAACTGGTGCCTAAAGAGACTAGGGTATTGGGGGGTTCACGCTTGGTTGAGAACGTCCTAGTCGACCGGCGTACGCTTCGTACTTAGGAGATCAGCGCCCTAAGGAACAGATGACGTCCGGGTTCAATAGGCGTTTTAACCGCGCGTACCTATACTACAACAAGCAAGTAAACGCTCTCTGTTGACCCACCTCTACAATTGCATTTAAAAACTTTCGCACGTAGGTTGGTAACTCGGTAGGGATACGCCCCTAAGGATGGTGACAACCCCTTAGGGTAACAAGTTGTGCCCCGCGAAAACCTATCCTGTCGCAGGGGACCATGGGATGTACAGCTGGCGTACCCGGCTAGAGCGGCGAAGGGACGACGCAACCGCGGTCGTCTCGGCACTCCGCTGGATTACTTATCGTCGTCCCCAAATTGTCTTTTGATTTTGCACCTTGCGAATATGTTGTGCTGTATCTAAAGCTTTGAGTGATAAGTTTTCAAAGTATTGAAAATGCGTTTGTACATGAAAAATGTGCTTTGTTTAAACTCCTGGTTGATATGGCCGGGAGGGATCCCGCCTCTTCGTGAGAAAAGGCGGGGGCCGTTGCACTCGATAGCGTCCCTTTAAAACTGGGAGATCCTTCGTTTTCCAGGAGCGCGAATGTTTTTGAGCACTATCTCTGACTGGTTGAAACCTCGACAAACATCAAATCGGTGAGTCTTCTCATGTGCATCGACGTGAGTGTTTCCACGACATACTTACGGGAGCTTATTTTTGAGGAGATTATTTTAGTCATACACTTATCTTAATTACGTAAATTATCAACTCTGTCTATTTCATTGACTCTCGAATCCCTCATTCCTTCTCCATCTAGCGCTCAAAGCTATCCGCCTTAATTTTAATTAAAATATCGGTAGTATTCACATGCTTAATTTATAAGTCTAAATAGTATGCATCAAATTTTTGTCCTGTTTTGGTCTCTCAACGTTTCATAGCTATAAATGAGAATGCCTCGTGCTACATAGTTGGTGTAATGCAAGTCTTATTAACAATCTTCTTACCTTAGTCTGACACTTTTTGTATTTAATCGCACTTATGTCTTATAAGTTTCATGGTAGTAATTTATTTTTTCCTCTATTTTTTTTCTTCGACCTATCCCTGCAATTTGTTTATTCTTCGATACAAATCCTGATATTGGTTGTTTCATCCGCTTATTGTTTTGCCTTATAACATGTTGTAGTTTGTCACACCCTTAGATACAACAATCAATCATCATTCAACTATGACCTAATTCATTCATCTTTCTTTAGTTTTGTAAGTGAAACTTCGCTTGACATAGGATTAAGTATTTAGTTTGCAGACAATAATAGTGTATTATTTATCTTTTCAAGTTTTTCCCATTCTCCAATGATAATATTACTTCTTTAATATCGACTTCTACCATGAATGATTACCGTCATCGGGCTTAGGTTCATCCCGCATTCATTTTTAACTCCTTTTAGGGTTTCCTTCCTACTGCTTCAGTGACAATACCACTTGAAAATTATTTTTTACTGCGTATGGGATCCTGCGTCCATTACAACGACAACTGGTTCGGTGTATTGGGGTTAGAGGATTGGTTTTGTCTTGGGTGATCTGCATATGGCCGAATTCGTAAGTCAAATTTATGTCCTTTGTTATTTTGGAGTTCAACACCAGATTCTTATCGAACTCGGAGATGGAAGTGGACTTACAACTGTAAGTAGCTGGTTTCAGTCACAAACCATTTTCATACGCTTGTTTTATTTTTTTTTCTTTAAGTTTGTTTGAATGTATATTTTGTTCCTGTGATAAGTTAAAAGATGAACATCACGTCTATTTCCGCCGCTTTAGGTTATAGAAAGTCATAAGCAATTTGAGAGATACCTTAGTAACGTTATTCTGTGGATATGTGCAAGTTTTATAAGAGTTTGACGACTTTTGATTTTTCTTCGGATAAGCGAAGGATAAAACTTCCACTATGCAAGTAGATAAATTTCTTCTTTCGTATGTTATTTTTTTCTTTTTTTTTAATCCAGTTTTCGTTTTGAGTTTGCATAGCTATGGGATGTTGAATCTGGTTGCCAACAGTGAACCTAAGGTGGGTATTGACTTCAGATACCTCCAGGTTGTTTATGGAGGACTCAAAATTCCCAGCCTCTTTATTTTCGAATAAAGTCCAGTATGGGTGACTCAACATGAGTAGCTATATTATTTTTTCATCATCAATGGTATCATTAGTATCATCAACATTAGAATTTTCGAAGGTTTCTGATTTCGTGAGTGTTTGAAGCATTTTATTTTCAGGTTCTTCTCAGCCGAAGCCGGGTAATGACCCCGGTGTTATAAACTGATGTATGTTCATATGGGACGTTGGGCCTGGTTCCCAGCACGTGTTGCTCCCCACGAATAGACTGGAGCCCCCCCCCCTAAAAAAAAAAAAAAAAAAAACATATAAACCTTCCTTAAGGAAAAAAAAAAAGTCATATGTTTACCTGGTAACTTTGAATGTATGGTTGAATGTTTTCTCTACAGGTTACGTGAATAGACACTAGATAACCCCCAAAATCGTGTATCTGAGTCCCTTAAACCACCACTGCCCCCATCATCCAGAAATGCTGAAAATTGTATATTATGACATCGGTGCGCAGTTGCAAATCAGGCTCCGATGAAGGTGTAGCAGAGGATCCCTGAGACCCTTACTTCGTTGGGACGGTATGTCCGTTTATGGACTGTTCCACCTTGTAATGTGCCTGTTGGACGAAGAAGAACATATAAAGTGAAGGTTGAGCAAAAACAAAAAGAAATACAAAGGAAAAAATAAAATAAAATGATATCGTTATTGTTTGAACTATACAAACCGTTTCATTGCCGTAGTCTCTTGCGTTGAACGGGTAGACTGCACACCCGAAATAAGGTCTCACCACACCTTTTTTGAAAACAAATTTCAAGAGTTTGGGTGTGACCATAGGACCTCTTAAAAGTTTTGGGTGAAAAGTTTCATTAAGAAGTGTCAGAAGGGTGTTTTAAGAGTTCCTCTTGAAATGCTTAAATCCTCACCTTGGAAGACTTTAAGTTCAAAGGGTTATCGGTCGAGCACTAAAAGGACCTCCATTTTCAAAAGGTGTCAGACACACAACTCAAAAACAAACAAAGAGTTATGTTTGTTCTCCATGTATGAGAGTTCATCTTTCAATAGTGTTTTGTGACCAAGTGTCTAAA